TAAATGCGTGAATACTTTAGAATATTTGTGATTTGTATTTCCCCACTTAGAACAATATTCAGACTCAATTCAATAGAAAATAAGAATTTTGTCAGGATATCCATAGTTCATATCCTTTTTTTTATTATTATTAAAAATTGCCTAGTGGTTAGGGTGTCCCACTCTAAAAGGCGCGTGTTCGAATCGCCGTCACTGAACAAGCTTGGTTAATCATACTTTTATTTGGTAAAAGAGTAGCTCAAGAGTTGGCGATGGGTGGTTTTGACTGTCTCCCCTCATAGTCTATCACTGCTACATTATGGACGGCTATAGCAGATAGCTCTCGTGTAGCTTTGCGCGAAGTTCAAACCAAACCAATTATTACAGAATGTTTGGTGTTATAAGCCGTCAAACTTACCGCGCAGTCACCCTAGGGCATAAAATAACTGTACAATTAAATACAGTGTACACGTTTACAACACTCAGAAATAATTGTGATTTGCTTGTTTCGTTGTTGTTATGCGCAAAATTTGCTAAACGGACCAGGTCAAAAAAGCCCGCCCCCAGTAGCACAGCGGTATGTCTGCGGACTTACAACGCTAGAATCCGGGTTTCGATACCCGTGGTGGGCAGAGCACAGATAACCCTTTGTGTAGCTTTGTGCTTAATTACAAACAAACAAAAAAGCCCTAAGCAGTGATGGAAATGGGTTTTCAGAACTAGAGGTTCGTTACAAAATCGGAATTAGATGGGAGGAGCGGGGTTTTGGATATGAACATAAAAAATAGGTGACAGCATCACTGCCTATCGTATCGAGCTATATTTTGCTGTTAAAAGAAAGAAAACGTGAATAAAAATCAGAAGTCAAAATTAAAAAGAGAGTTATTAACTTACAAATTGCATACTGAAGTAGAAACTTACAACTTTATAAACATAATACTTCTGTGAACCGCTTCAAAATGATTGTTTGTTTATTTTTCGTTTGTTTGTTAGTAAACCCAACGATACACAATGGGCTATTTGTGTTGTTCCCACAGCAAGTGGATATCGAAGCCCGATGTTTGGTGTTATAAGCCGTCAAACTTACCGCTCAGTCACCCTAGGAAATAAAATAACTACAATTA